CATTATACCCTGATTTCCCATTTTCAATGGGTTCAGGGTATAATAATAAATATTAAATAAATAATATATATGCAAATATTTCCGTAAGAGTTTATTTATTAATAGGCATATTTTAAGGAATACTAAAAATACCGAACGTAATATCTATAAATATATACTGAAGAGAGAGAGAGAGAGAGAGAGGTAGGGAAAGAGATAGACGGAATGAATGAGCGAGAGAGATAGTGAGGGAATGAAATACAGAGAGGCAGAGACTGTTACTCATAGAATACTGTAAAAATGTGTTAACATATGTATAACATAAGTATGTTACATAACATATGTTTAAGAGGAAATATTTAAATATTATTTCAACCACGGTATAATATAACTACATAGTAATATGTAAGTTCTCGTATATCAAATATTTAATAAATAAATTTAAATCAATGAATTTAATGTTCAATTTAGATTACTCATACTTTTTTTATGGCTTAAGTTTCAAGTACATTTATAGAATTTACTTATTAATCCTCATGGGCATAGAAAGAGTGACTGCATTTAACGGTTAAAATCAAGCAGAAGAAGAAGACGAAGTAAGAGAAGAGTCAGTGGAAGGAGAGGAGAGGAGAAGGTAGTTGAGACCACAAATTGGCCAAAAGCAGTTGGCTTATAATAAAGACATTTATGGGCCGGAGCGATTCAATTGTGCGGCAGTCCACAACTTTGCAGTCAATGAGGTAAACACACAGACAGACAGAGAAGAACAAGAGGAAATGCGGGAGGGGAAAAGAGAGAGAGAGAGAGAAGCTGCGAGAGCGAGAGAGAGAGAGGCGAGTACTCAGTTGATCAGCTTTGAGGTAAACAGAAATAATTCGACTGCGAGTCGCAGTTCGAGTTGGAATCGGACGACGATTACCTTGAGGGCAACGCACAACGTTGCGTGTGTGTGTGTGTGTGTGTGTGTGTGTGTGTATGCATTGGGTGGGTGTCCCTAGTCAGACATCGTGCAACAACAACAACAACAATAACAACAGCAGCAGCAACAACAACTCAATGAGCACATGCTCAGGAAAACATGGCCAAGGCCCGAAAGCCATATGGCCAACAATTGAGATTCGGGCCGCAAACTTAGGCCCGGCTCTGGGTCTGGTGCATGGGGATCTGTGGCATGGCCAGAACGGGGCTCATTATAGATGCAGCGCCGATTTGTTTTGTTGTCCCCCCATTTGACTTTGAATTGATAGCATCAGGCAGCAGCCGGCAAACGGTTTAGCCCCAGACGTTTTGCGACTCTCCACTCCCGACTCGGACTCCCAACTTAACACAACAACTACAACTGTGACGCAGGCCGGCGGGTGCAGCAGCAGCAGCAGCCAAAGCAGCGCCCAGTTTTGCCTGCATTTAAGATATAAATGTATCTGAACAATTGAGCTAGCAGTGCATGCGCATGTGCAGTGCAAATATTTTAGATTCGCATAAACTTTGCATAGTTTTTAGATGCTGCGCACAGTGGTTAAAAGACATGGCAAACGCTAGTGAACATTTTAAATCAAAGTTTAGCGCAGTTGTGGGATATATGGGGAGACTAGAAATGGGAGTATGAAAGATGAGATACAGAGGAAAATGTGATAGAAGAAAAAATATGGAGAGAGACATAAGCAGGAGAGGGAAAAGGAAAGGGAGAGAGAAAGAGAGAGTGATAGTAAAAGATGAGGAGATACAGATTTAAAGATAGGCAGAGAGGCAGAGAGGCAGAGAGAGGCGCAGAAGCAGAGAAAGAGAGCGGCAGAGAGGGGGTGAAACAGAGAGGGAGAGATAGAGGCAGCGAGCGAGAGATGCAGAGATTGAAAGGGATTGAATTAAATGAAGAGAAAGAGAGACAAGCAATAAAAGAGACTGCGAAGGAGAATAAGAGACAACAAGGGAATCAACTAGAGGTGAGAGAGAAAGAGAGAGGGAGAGGTTTAAATAAGACTTTTGCTCTACCGAAACAGAGGCAGACATAGAAAGATATCGAGATAGATATATATAGAGTGAATGAGAGAATGATTATTGTATAGTCTACCCAAAAGCAGAAAGTGCAAGTGAGAGAGGGAGGGATATAGAAACAGGGGAAATATGGAAATATGATCTGTAACAAATTAAGAAACAAACTTACTTTTGAGCTAGAAAAAATATCAAGCTTAGGCTTAACAATTAGTTTAACAATCAGTTAGCTCTAGCGACAAATTTCAACTGCCTCTTTGATCGAAGAAAATAATTTAACTGAATATAGAATTTAATTAGCAATCTTGAGATATGTTTACATATATAGAAGAGTCTTTATTGTATTACATGTTATATAGGATAGTCTAGGCTAAGCTGCTGGTTTTCGACAGAGTGAACCACTGTGCGCTTAAAGCACTCGCGCTCGCGCCTGCCCCAGCGCATTTCCACTTGGCCCCGCATCCGAGTCGCGTTTTGGCCTGTTCGCTGCGTGTTGTCCACGCATTCGTCGCCGTCGTCGTCGTCGTCGTCGGGCCCGTCGGCTGTTTAGCTGCGCATTTTATTTAACATATCATTTAAAATTCATGTAAAACACATGTAGCTGAAGCTGTTGCTGCGGCTGTGGAGCGGGCCTGCCCTGCTTTGCATACCGTGGGCATAAAGTACATGGGGCACAGCCACAGACAGCCGAACAACTGCATCACACCCAAGCGCCAGGAGCAAGCCACATCCACATCGACATCGACATCGACATCCACATCGACATCGGTCCGGCTGCCCAGGTCCAGGCACACAGTCCCGCTGTCCATCTGGCCAGATCGCATTCATAAGCAGGCTCTGAGCTGACTCTTGTATATCTGTGCGCATATCTCTCTCTCTTGGGCTGGAAGCCTTTGCGTTTGCTTTCCATATAGTCGGCCTGGATGAAGATGTCTCTGTCTCTCTCTCTGTCTCTGTCTCCGACTCCGACTGCGAGTCTGACTCTGACTCTGTCGCTTGTTGCATGCTGCATTTAATTTGTAAACAAAGTCTTTAGTTTATGACTGGCGCGTTATTTTAGCATATGCACATCTAGGCCTCGGCACTGTCCACCTTGGCCCATGGCCCATGGCTCAAGCCCGGGCTGAAGCATTTTGTATGAAATTTGTAAACAATTCCGAGCCCAGTCGCTCAGTCGCCCAGTTGCCTTGCCTGGCATTTGCAATTTACATATTTGACGGCCCCCACATCCCGCTCCCTGCATACCGCCCACCCACCACCGCCCACCTCTTGGCATGGATATTGTTAGCCAGTGGCATTTCATCAATGTGTTTGGCCGATCTGACCTTTTGCATCTCTCTCTCTCTCTCTCTCTCTCTCTCTCTCTCTCTTTGTCTTTCGCTCTCTCTAGCTAAAGTCTGGCAGCCATAACAAATCACCAATGACTCGGGCCGACACTAAATGCAATTTATAACACTCTTTGCTCCTGTTGTTGTTCTTATTGTTGTTGTTGTTGTTGTTGTTGTTGAGCAGATTGTCAAACAAGTTGACTTAAAGGCAAGTTAACGAGCGCTGTTAGCTGCCCGCCCTTGCCATCAGCATCATCATCATCATCATCATAATTATCATTGTCATTGTCATTATCATCAGCAAAGTCATTGCGCTGAACGACAACTTCATCTCGTGACAGCCGCGCTGTCATCAACATCAACACACGGCGCGACGCCCCGAAAGAAAACCCATCAAAAGCTCTGGGTAGCGCACGTAAAATGCAGCACAAAATGAAACATTAACCAACACTGCAAAACAACGAACGACAAATGCTCTACGGCCGACTCCCCTCCATTCACAATTTGCTCAGGGAAAAGCGTCTTGCCTATATCTAAAATATCTGAATATTTTTCAAAATATTTTAATTCGATCATGATAGCACATATACTATATTTCTAGAAAGGAACTTGAGCTGAGGTCGTAACTCGTTCATACCCAATATTTATTTATGCAATATATTTATGACAATCTTTCGAATGTAGTGTTGTATAACGTATAGCAAATGCCGAAATATACATAAAGCTCATGTACAAAAAGTAGCCAAAATGAAAAACAAAGTCTAAATTAGACGTCTAACAACACTAGCTATTTGTACAATTTTCGAACACTAGAATATTTTATATATTATAAAATCTACAGATAATC